GATCCTCCTGCCACAGCCTCCCAAGCACTAGGATTACAGGCATGTGCCACCACACCGGGCTCCTCCTTTCAACTGTGGGTGTCAAGTATTGTCCCAGACACAGGAAAGCTGAGAAATACACCCTGTCTATAGAAACACCAAGATTCAGGGCAAGTTTCTTTGATCTGAAATCACTGCACTATTGGGACCAAATCTCCTCAGGGCCCAGCTCCTTCCCATGCACCAAGCCCCAGTGGTGGTCTCCTGTGTACTAACAGGAAGTTGTGACAGAGGAAGTGGCTGCACTGCAGATGTATCTTATGCATCTTTTCACTCCTCCAGGAAAGGGTTTAGTTTCACACTGGAACTCTGCATGAGCGTGGGTGCAGATGTGCTTCAGGCAATACACACATTGCCAGAGGTTGGGTGCAAGGATTTTTTGGAAGACATAAGTTTTATTGAGTAAGCAGCATTCATTTCAAGAACAATAAAGGAACCCAGAATGGAAGCATATGTATCACAGAGTATTATTCATAACAGTGAAAATGTGGAAATAGTTTGGGGAACAACTGAGTGATAGAATGTTTGCCTAGCATATAGAAGGCCCTGGGTTCAATAAATTTAAAATGTGGAAAGAACTCTGATGCCCATCAGCTATTGTATGGATGAATAAAATATGGTGCATCCATACAATGGATTATAGCCAAATGAGGAGTTAAGCACTGACACATGCTACATCATGCATAAGTATTGCAAACTTTGTTAAGTGAAAGAAGCCAGTCACAAAAGATCACACATACCCGGGCGTGATGGTGCACACCTGTAATCCCAGCACTTGGGAGGCTGAGACAGGAGGATCGTTGCAAGTTTGAGACAAACCTGGGCTACAAAGCGAGCTCAAGGCCAGCCTGAACTGCACGGTGAGACCCTGTCTCAAAAATACAAAAAAAAAAAAATCACACATATATGCTTTGCTTTATATGACATACCCAGAGTAGGTAAATCCATAGAGACAGAAAGTAGATTGGTGAGCTGGGCATGCTGGTGCACACTTGCAATCTCAGTGCTTTGGGAGATTGAGGAAGGAGGACTGAAAGATTGAGTCCTGCCTGGTGGTTGCTGGATGGTGAAGGTGGGAATGGTGGAGGGAGCAGGCCACATGCAGAGCTTTCCAGGCATTGGGGACAGCAGTGCATAGCCTCTGAGGTAGAAGGGAGTATGGCCTGATCAGAGCACAGCACAAAGGCTGGGACAGCAATGGGAGGTGAGGCAGAAAGTGGGTAGAAGGACCAAGTCATTTGGGGCCATGTGATCCATGGCCTAGGAGTTAGCTTCTACTTGAAGAAAGATGTGATCTCATTGGCAGTTCTGAGCAAGGGGTCTCTCCATCCCTCCCTCCCTCCTTCCCTACATCCCTTTTGTGTGTAGTACTAGGGATTGAATCCAGGGCCTTGCAGATGCCAGACAAGTGTTCTACCACTGAACCACACACATCCTCAGCTCCCTCTCCTTGAGACACCATCTTGCTAAGTTGCCCAGGCTGACCTCAAACGTGGTAATTCTCTTGCCTCAGCCTCCCTAGTAGCTGCCTCACCACACCTAGCTCATTTATGTCTCAACAGGATCTCTCTTGCAGGAGAAGGACTTGAAGGGGCAAGGTTAGAATATGGTGGACCAATTTGGAGGCTACTGTATTAGTGAGTTTTCTCATCACCTGAGACACAATACACAATGCCTGCAGTTTAAGAGAGAAGTTTCATCTGGCTCACAGTTCAGGGAATTCAGTCCATGGCTTGCTGGCTCCAAGGCAGAAACATCATGGTGGTGGGGGGAATGGTGGGGGAAAGCTGCTCATCTCACAGCACCCAGGAAGCAGAGAGAGAAAGGTGGAACCAGGGACAAGAATAAACCTTTCCAGGGAGGGTAGGGGAAAGGGGTGGAAAAAAGAATCAAGATATCTCATGCACAGGTACAAATCCCTTATGATGAATGTGATCATTATGTATACCTAAAATCTACCAATAAACTTCATTAAAAAAAAGAATATACCCTTCCAGATCACACCCCAGCGACTGCCTCTTCCAACCAGTGTCCACATTCTAACAGCACATTCAGCTATGAACTCATCAATAGATGAATCCCCTGATGAGTATAGCACCCCCACCATGATTCAGATACTTCCAAAAGCCCCACCTCTGGATACATGAGGCTTGGGGGACATCTGAGATCTAAACCGTAACAGTTACTGAGTTGGTTCAGGCAATGATGACTCTGATTTAGACCAGGATGCAGTAGCAGCAGCAGGGGCACAGAGTAGTGTCCAGTTCTGGCTCCACTTTAAAAATAGAGCTGACCTTCAGGATTCCAGCTGAGCAGCTAGGAGACTGGTGTTAGATTTTATCAAGTGGGGAAAAACTACAAGAGGGGTGTTGCTCACAGGTGGAAAGAAGGTGTAGCCAAGCACGGACAACATTTTACATTTTAATTTTTTAAAACATTAAATCATAAACATTTACCAAGATACTATGGAGTCTTTGTAACGATCACTTTTGAGGGCTGCATAGTCCATTCAATTCATTTAACCTAAATTACATAACTATTTCCTTTTTTAATCATTAAGACTCTTTATTTAATTTTCAAAATTATAGATAATCCTATAATGAATATCTTTGTGCTGATGGTTTTTTCTTTCTGTGGTTTTTCAAGCGATTTAATTCTCAGAAATGGATTTACTAGGGGAAAGAGTAAGAACACTTCTAGGCTCTTGAGACACATTGCTAAACTGTTTTCCAAAAAGATCATAGCAATTCTTAAGTAGGGGGGGCAAAAATGAATGTAGGAGTTTCATCATAGATTGGACAGCATAGAACAACTGTTCCCTAACAAAGGGGATGAAAGATTTTTCTATTTTTAAAAAATTTGCACACTTTTGATTACAGTTAAGGTTGACCATGTTTTAAATTTTCTTTGGCTCTGGCTATGAATTAGCTATTTAGGTCCTTTGCCTCCTATCTATCTATCTATCTATCTATCTATGTAATCTATTTGAGACAGGGTCTTGCTTTGTAGTTCATTCTGGCCTTGAACTCACTTTGTAGCCCAAGCTAGGCTCAAACTTTTGGCAATCTTCCTGCCTCAGTCTCCCTAGTGTTGGGATTACAGGCATGTGCCACCACGCCCGGTTGTCCATCATATTTTTAATAAAAATCATTTAAATAAACCAGGAAAATTCCATTAAAATGACTTTGTGTGGCTTTTGTAAAGAAACAAAAAGCACTGGTAAATGGATAATTTTATTCAATTTTGATGGCTTATTCATTTAAAAGTTGCTATACTCATTTTAAAAGCCTTTTTCTTCCAGTGACAGAGGAGTACATGTGGATAGTGGTGATTACAGATAAGGGCCTGCCTTCTAGATCTCCCTCCCGAGTGACCAAGTTTCACCACCACCCAGTCCAAACACACCTTGCTGATGGTGGGGCTGGGGGGACTACACAGAACAAGGGAGAAGGACGGGTGGCTCTTCCAGGGGAAAGTGGTGGGCATCTTGGAGCACTGAGAAAATGAACACCAATGACGAACATGGATGGGGCTTCTGGAGCCTGCTCGTGCCTCTGGCTGCCCCAAGGGGTGCACAGCATCTTTTGGGGTCTGGCCTGGGGCACCCCTGAGTTTCCTTCCAGCCCTGAGAGTCGGAGGCTCTGAGAACTCACACTTTTCTGCCTTTTTGGCATTGCTGGTATTGGTCTGCTCTCATGGCCCATCTCCAGATGCGGACATCTTACCTCTTTAGGACTAAGTCAAATGCCATATCCATGGTAGAATCTTTGACTCCCTCCTTCCCATGTCCCCCTTTCTGAGTAGACGTGGAGGGCACGGCTGGGTCTTCTCACACCTTCATACACAGAGTGCACTGGACAGGGACTCTGTTTGGAAAGCTGCTGCTGACTTGGAAGATCCTTGAAGGAGGGTTAGCAGCTGGGAGAACTGCCTCTGTACCTAGGAGGCTTCCTCATGTGGGTGCGCGCAAGCCTCGAGGTTTACTGGCTATACCTCAGTTTCCACCACAGGGTTGCTGTGAAGAGTAAATGGAAATTGGATAAAGTTTGCTTTAGAATCACTGAGCATCCCATAGCTTGGTGTACTAGTCTTTGTTCCAGAAACAAAGATGTAACAAATGGCCCCTGGCATTATAGTACACTGCAGGAAAGAATATGATAATAGTTCTCAGGGAAGATGGGAGACAAGTGCCAGGGGCTCTGAGTCAAAGAGGGGGCATGTGGACAGGTCTTGGGGACTTGCCAGACCAATCAACACATGAGTTGAGTCTTGACAAGTGGCTACAATCTAAGCAGCTGGGAATGGGGCGGGAGGGTATGTAGACAGAGGCACTCAAACTGAAACATGGCAACCACTGGAGTCTGGCCAGCAGGCCTACTCGGCTGGTGCTACGGGTGTTTGGGGCTGGACAGAGTGGTGGGAAACCAGCTGGAGAAAAACACAGTTGTGATAGGAGAAAGCAAGGAAGCCAGGACTTTTAGAGGCAGTGTAAGCCCTGGACAGAGCTGTGCTGGAAGGAAAGATCGGGAAGAAAAAGGACAGAAAGGGTCATTGGTGAGGAGACTGTTGGAATAACTGGGCACAAGACTGTCAGGCCTGGAGAAGAGCTGTGAGGACAGAGGAGAGGACTGTGGCAGAACACTTCAGGGTGGAACTGCCACCCTAACTGGGGGAGAGACTCCTTCTGACAATTATTTTATCTCAGGAGAACCCTTGCTGTCACTTCAAGGCACTCATCACCTTTCTGGCAGGCAGCCACTTCCTCTCCAGGTAGAACTCTTCCCAGGGTGGGGTAGGAGGACATCTGAGCTGATCACCCTGCTTCCCAGCTACCTGTGAGGGGCTCTGCCATGAGGACAAGGCAAGGGGAACGTGAGTGTGGGTGCTATTTCCTCCCAGAAAAATCCTTGGTCTCCATGTTAGTTTTGAATTGGGTCACCTTATTCTGCCTGGTCAAAATCCTTATTTGACATTTTTCATAGTTCAATTACAGAGTGTCTGTCATTCCTACTGGAAAGTTAAATTCCAGCACTCTGCATTCCAGAGCCTGGCATCTAGTTGGCACCTGCAGAGCTGTAAAGATGTGAAGAGGGATCAGCATTTGCCTGAGACTGAGGTCAGGGCGGGGACTGACTGAAAATGGGCACAAGGAACATTCCCAGTGTCTAACACTAGATCTTAGTTGAGCGTAGGGGCACCATGTTTGTAATCCCAGCACGCTGGGAAACTGAGGCATGTGGATTGAATTTCGAGCCCAGCCTAGACAACCTCGCTAAACTGACAATCTAACGAGTTACCAGACCGTATCTCAAAATAAAAAATAAAAAAGCCGCTCGTAAGGTAGCTCTGTGTGAAGGCTCTGCGTTCAATCCCCAGTACCACTTAAAGAACTAGACCAGCTAGGCCGGGTGGCGCTCGCCTGTAATCCCAGAGCTCTGGGAGGCTGAGGCAAGAGGAATGCAAACTGGAACCAGGCCTGGGCAACTTAGAGAGACTGTGTCTTACAATAAAAAATTAAAATGGGCTGGGAGTGTAGCTGAGGATAAAGGTCCTGGCGGGAGAAAGCTAGATCTTGTGACAGTTGCGCAACTGTGTGCATTTATAGAAAGCACCGAGCCGTACACTTACAGTGTGCAAATGTTGCGATGTATAAGTCACGCCTCAAGTACTTGTGGAGTAAAGGGTCCCTCTTGGTCCCTCAGGATCCTAAACTCTGCAAGAGGAAGAGAATCTCTAAATCTAGAGACGTGATTGGCACCTAGCAGGCGCGGAGCCACCAATGAGGAGTGAAGAGGGCGGGCCTTTCTTTAGGCCGCTTCCGGGTCGCAGCCACGCTGTCGGCTGGGCGTGTCCTGCGAAGGCAACCCGGCGATTGGCCAGCGAGCGTCCAAAATCTGGGAGGCATTAAACTCCGAAAGGCCTGAGGCAGGGGCGTGTCCTGTATGGGCGTGGCCACGATAAGGGGGCGGGCTCTGGGCGCCGCGGCGCGCACGCGCTGTGCTGTTGCCGCTGTCGCCTGGCGAGACGGCGGACGCGATGGCCGGGTCCGCGTGGATATCCAAGGTGAGCACGGGCGGGTGGGAGCTGATCAGGCGGCGATCGGTGCATGCTGACGGGGCCGAAGCAGCCGGCAGGTCGGGGACAGCGTGGACGCGGTGTGGAAGGCGTCCCGGCTGTACGGGCCAAGGCGGCGAGCTGAGTACGGAACCCCGCACCGGCCCACGCGGCCGAGGCAGGAGGGCGTCAAGGTCGAGGCGGGGTCCTGGGCCCGGGCCCGGGCGAGGCGTCTCGCTGAGCGGCAGTCGGCAGGCGACTCATCCGGCCCGGCTTCCCCCGGGTCCGCGCGGCCCATGCTGCCTCTCGGTCGGAGCCAGGCCGTTTTCCCTCGTGGGCTCTTTCCTCGTGGGGCCCCTCGGGCGCTTGCAGCAGCTTCCTCTTCTGAAGACCAGGGCATCGTGCACCTCGGGGTCACCCCGTACTCTCTAGAGAGGTCCCAGCACCTGCCCTGGCCCTTGGTGGGGACCCTGCGGTGATCGGGAGGAGGGTGTCCTTGACAGCCCCGCCACACCGGAGAAAGGATTTGAGATTACCCCGATTCTCTTCGCCACGCCCTGCACTCAGGGAGATAACCTGTGCGGGGAGACAGACTCACCCAAGGTCACACGAGGTCAGAGCAGGGGAGAAAACCCAGGCATCCTGGGTCTCAGTAGGAAGGTCATATAGCAAGGCACCGCACTGGGACATCGGCCTGTAAGTCTCTGCTGCTGTTAACGGGGCTTCCCACTTCAACTCTCCCATAAGCAGATTTGTTACTACTTTTTTCCTTTTTCTTTTTTCTTCAGTTTAAAGAGGTGCGCTGATAAGAGATTTACTGATAAGATCCCCACACTGGAATTTAGGAGTTCTTAGGTTTAAATCCTGGCAAGACCATTGGCTGACTGTAAACCTGAGCAAATGAACATCTCTGAGTCTTTATGTGCCCATCAGAAAAATATCTATTCTTGTGTCACAGTTATTTGAGGTTTAAATAGGACAGTGTATGTAAAAGCTTGTAGAATAGGCAGAAGGAACATAAAAATTGCAAGCTTTTTTGACCATCAATAGATGAGTCTTAAGGGGCAGTCGTTAAGCTGACAGAGGTGGCTGGGTTTTGGGCTCAGTAATTGGATTTGACTGTACCAGTCTTTTCAGACCCAAATTTGCTTGGGATGGTAACTGTTAGATCAGCTTTGCCTCTAAAGGTGATGTAACTTCTGGATTACTGTTAAAATAAATCTGTCCCTTAATCCCTGGGTTTACATTTAACACCTACAGGTAATTCATCTTGGGGACTAAAGCAACACTAGTAATAATAAGCTTGCTGGTAAATTTGTTGTGTCTTTACTGTGGACTGCAAGAAGAAACTCCAAGGAGTTGAGAAAGTGTTGGAGTACAGAATCAGAAGATGAGAGTCTTAGTCAGGCCTGGTGGAACACACTTGGAAACTTGACACTCTGGGAGGCTGAGGCAGGAGGATTACAAGTTTGAACCTAGCCTGTTAGCAATTTAGTGAGACACTCTTTCAAAATAAAAAAGGGCTGGGGGTGCAGCTCAGTGCGAAAGCCAGGGCTTCAATCCCGTTATAAAAGAAAGGAAGGAAGGAAAGAAGGAAGGAAGGATGGATGATGTCCTCCTTGGAAGGGACTCCCTGTGCACCAGCCTTCACCTCTCAGCCAGTTTCTCCCTGTAGGGGTCATTGCCTCAAAATCCTCCTGAGGCCAAACCAGCGTGGAGGGCTGTGTTGGATGCTGGTTTTGGTGGAACAGTTACTCTATTGGGTTGGCATTTAAGGTTTTGTTTGAAAAACATTTGCAACTTAAAAAAGCTTTTCCCACAGAGAAAATAGAGGGTTTCCACAGACTTCCCTGGCTCTTAAATACTATAACGAGCCAATTTACTAGCAGCCAGCACTCGCTGTGTGCATTCTGCCCTCCATCATCAAAGACCATATTGAGTGCTAAAGTTGGAGTACGAAGAGAAGAGAACGAGGAGCTAGGGGTTAAGATGGCCCAGGGCCTGGTCAGAAGTTCGAGGCTGCAGTCTAGGCTTTGTGAGTAGTCAGCGTTCTTATCTGAAAACCCTATCTCCCCGGGTCCTATTCTTTCCAACCTTTACCCTAGTACTGGTGTCTGAACCCAGGGCCTTGGCACTGAGCTACTCCCTCAGCCTTGTTTAAGATTTTTTATTTTGAGAATGAATCTCACTAGTTTGTGCAGACTGAGCTCAGACTTGTGATCCTCCTGCCTCAGCCTCCCGAATCCTGAGATTACAGTCATGCACCACCTCACTCTGCTTTCCAGATTTTGTTGAAATAAAAGGATGTGATATATATGTATAGGTACGATATATATGTACAGGTACAGAAAATAGCCTGTTGCTATTAAAAATCTTTTGTTAGGGGTTTTTTCGAGACAGGGTCTCACTGTGTAGCCCAGGCTAGCCTCAGACTTGGCGGTGATCCTCCTGCCTCTCCCTCCTGAGTGCTGGAATTACAGGCATGCACCACCACTCCTGGCTGCACTCTTGGGCTTACCTGTTAATTTGGTCAGGTCTTTTGCCACAAGGATATGAACCTGTTTTGTTTGAATGTCTTTTTTGTCTTTATTGGGGCAAGAGGAGTCAAGTAAGTTTCAGTGTTTGTCACAGAGTAATTTTAAATGCCTCCTTTCTAATACTCTACCTGCTGGTGGATGAATCACATCCTGGTAAGATTAAGATTTGGCGGGTGGCTTTGGCAGAGTGTCCTTTTGGGTGTGGCCCTAAGCTTTCAGTCCAGGACATGACTGCAGATTCCCAGGATTAGAGAATAATGTTCATTCATACCTTCTTGGCTGGTTGTTGTGTCATTGTTAGTAGAGGCCAGTATTTGATTCACTGGTTTGTTTTTTTGTTGTTTTTTTTTTCTTTTTTGGTACCATGAATTGAACTCACGACCTCGCACTTGCCAGTCAGGGTCTTGTGCCAGTGAGCTGTATCTCCGGCCCAAGCTCAGTATTTGAGTAAAGGTTCAGGCTCCTTAAAGGAAATGAAAGACAGGAGGAACACACGTCCCTTTGTTCATGTATCTAGCATGAAGAGATCACCAGAGTAAAATCTAATGTTTGAGTTAAAAAAGCAATATAGTTTCATCCTATCTTAAACATTTGGGACAATCTATATTCATAAAATTAACTTAGAAAAAACTGTAGTGCTTTGAAATTCTTGGCTCAAATGTCAAATGTTGAGTATTTGTTCAGGTGTTCAAATCTGAGCAAGCTACCACACTGAGCTAACACATGGGTAAAGTATTCTAAATTATAAATTAAAATTAGGAAAATCCCTAAATCTATCTGCAGATTTGTAGCATTGACAGCCATCAGCATGAGTTTGTCTCCACCGTTGCTGTATGTTTCATTCTCTGCCTGATGTCTCTCTGTTGGTGTTCACGTAGGTCTCTCGGCTGCTGGGGGCATTCCACAGCCCAAAACAGGTGACCAGAGGTTTTGCTGGTGGTGTGAGTATAATTATGTTTTTTATTTTTTCCTTTTAGAAGTTTCTCAAGAAAGATGCTCTAATACATTATGTAGCATTTAATCTCCCATTTATTTAAAACTGGGGAAAATTGGCCATACTTACTATATACTAAAATTATTGGCAAACATATACACAAACCTATTAGGTCACTTGTCCACATGAAAGAATTATATTACAGCTGGCTCTGGAAGCCTGTGGCATTACTGCCTTGAAGAAGCCTTGTTAAAAATAGATAGATATTACCCTTGAGCCTGTTACTTTATTTTACTGTCACATTTTGGTAAGAGGCTTTTTTCTATGTTAGTGTTGAGAGAAAATTGTTGAGAAGCTTCAAACCCTGCTTTGCATTTTTATTTTCTGAGCTTCCCTAAAAACAGTAGATTCATTGCCAATTAGGAATTTCTCAAACGTTGCTAAGCCCCATAGACTTATACTTTCTTATAGTCTTTAGTGGATCATCTATTGTCCATTAAATCTACTGCTTTTAGAATCCCCAGCATTAGAGTTCTGTGCTTTAAAAGCTGATACCACATTTTTGGAACATTCTAAGACTGTGGGTCAGTAATTTCCAATTCATTTTTATTTTAGCATCTTTTTACAGAATCTGATTTGGATGTCCTAATTTCCCTGATTTCCAATTCATTTTTATTTTAGCATCTTTTTACAGAATCTGATTTTGGATGTCCTATACTACCATGTAACACTTTATGCATGAGGGATTTATAAGACCATGGTATATTTATTTCCTATTTACTTTTCCTGCTATGGGAGAAAAGTAGATTTCCTCATGGCTTGATGTTTATTACATATTGGGAAGATGGAAAGAAGACACCAAAGGGTTCTTTTGGCTCTGCTTATACAGAAAATGTAAAATGAGCATTATATTTGGAGCTCCAGGGTAGCTAAGCCAGCATTTCAGACACATTTGGAGAGCTAATCATTGGTCTCTGCTGTTAATTTTCAGGCTACCCATTAAAAAAATATATGTATATGTATATATATGTATGTATGTGTGTGTATATATATATATCAGAGGAGATTACTTTCAGAAGAAATAAGAAGAGACATTAATTTTGAAAATATTTCTTCAGCTATGCCGAAGAATTGAGAAATAATTTGCCTGCCTGTTCAGGAGGCATCATTAGAAGGTGAAGGAGCAGGGAAGGTTGATTTAATGTTTATTTAAAGTGAATTCATGATTTTCTTTTTAACATGTAGCTCAGACAACTGGAACTAAAAAAAGGCCAGGTGGAATAAGTTCCCAATAATAAAACAAATAGAATGTATAGTTCTCAAATGTAGAGAAGGGGTCTGAATATTAGCTTAATTCATTTAAATCCCATTCTACCATATTTTTATTTCTGCATTTGAGAAGCTGGCTTCATTTTGTCTGAAGCCATTGAAACAAATAATTGATGTTCTTTCATAAATATACTCTTTGTCATTCACTAATATAGCACAGGCTTTGTAGGTCTTTTCATGCGTTACTCTTATTGGAGTACTTGGCTGCGAATTACTTGGCTGAACTTACTTATTTGACACTTACTATGGACTGGTTTTACAGAGGAACTGGGAAAGTGGAGGCCTTTTCTTGAAGTGTACTTTGAGATTCTGAGTTTCAAAATAGACCTCTGATACTCTGGAAATATGTCTGAAAGAGCTCTGTACACCTGAAGAAATGGCCTGAGGACAGGTAACCTCCTGCTTCTCCAAGAACCCTCTTACTTAGTGCAAAGAACACTGTTGAAATAGTTTACTGTCTTTGGTTTATAGACTTAGATCAATCGGTCTCATCATAACTTGTCTGAAAAGAAGTATCCATCGGGAAGTCTCCTTGGTGTAGTGTAATTTATTTTTGCTATATCTGAAGAGCAGTTATTTGAGTTCTTTTTAAGCCCTCTGAGAATAGATTTGTGGAGCTTCTTTTCTGTTTATTTCTGCCTCTGCTTTATGGCCCTCGGGTGAGTTGTCTATTTCCTTAGCAGTGTTTGGGGTCTTTCTGAGGCACCTTGTGAAGTTGATTTTTCTGTCAATTATATTCTTTTTTAAACCTTCAAAAACCAACTCTTACTCTGTTCCTTTAATGATTTCTTATATTCAGGTTCAGACAGTAACTTTAATTCCAGGAGATGGAATTGGCCCAGAAATTTCAGCTGCAGTTATGAAGATTTTTGATGCTGCCAAAGTAAGTGAGATTTTGTTTGAGGGGGGTACCAGAAATCAGGACCTTGTGCTTGCCAGGCAAGCACTTGTGCCACTGGGCTATATTCCCAGCAGGTGAGCTTTTTAAAAAATCCATTTAATGAGGATTCATAGGAGAGTGTTCTTAGCCAGTTGTCTTCTGCGATGATGAATTGCAAGTTTCATACAATTGGAAAGTGCTATCATTAGTCTCCACAGATCTTCTCTTTAATAATGTATGTTTCAGTGTTATTTGCTACTGGCATTGTTGGGAATTTAAAAACCGTAATATGTAAAATGATCAAAGTAGTACTGCAGGATTCATGGATCTTTGAACTCTGCTTGCGTTTAAAGTCTTTTTTGGAGTGTGTAAAGTCATTGTGCCTTCCTGCCAAAATAGGAGAAAATTGATGTTTGAAAAATTCATATGGGAGATTTTGAAGGAGTTCTTTTTTTCTTTCTTGTTTGTTTTTGTTTTTCTTGGTGCTGGGGTTCTGGGAATTGACCAGGGCTTCACATATACCAGGCACATGCTCTGCCACTGACCTACACCCTTAGCTCCTTGAAAGAACTTTTTTAAAAATTTGTGCCTGGTGACACATACATAATCCTAGCAATCTGGGAGCCTAAGGTAGGAAGATCATAAATTTGAACCCAGACTGGGCAACTAAGTGAGACGCTATCTTAAAATTTACAGGGTAAAGGCACTGGGTTTAATCTGCAGTACTACAAAAAAAAAAATCTGATGTAGTATTAGTATCAAGAATGATATATTATCACTTCTAACAGCTAAGTTGTCAATATTTTAAAATACTTGTTTTTGTTTGTTCAAGGTCTCTAATTCAGTTTGGTTGTTTTTAGTACATTCACAGAGATATACAGTTATCCACATGATCTAGTTTTTTGAACTTTTCTTTTATGGTGCTGGGATCAAATTAGGAACCTTACACATGCTAGACAAATCTCTGCCCCTGAGGTACATCTCCAACCCTAATTTTGGAACATTTTCATCACCCAAAAAGAAACCCCTTCCTGATGCAGTCACTCACGCTGTCCTCTCTCTCCCACTTCATCCTCTGCCCTTTATCTTCCTCAGCCCTAGGCAACCACTCTGTTCTATCTCTACATGGTGTGCTCAAAAGATAGAGTGAGTGTTTAAATTTTTTTTGATGTATTATAGTAAAAGACACACATTGCCATGAATCCCATCAAAACACTCCTCCTTGTTCTGAATACACTCATCCCATTATTCCTGTCACTCTCTGAAGTAGTTCTGTAAGTCCTCTTTCATGAATGTCTTCAGTTGTGCTATTGTGACTGCGTAGATATTCTGAATCTATTCAAAATGTTTGCCTGTCATGGTCATTTTGACTTCGGGGCAGAGCCAGGAGTCATATAGTACCAAATCCGGTGAATAAGGTAGAAGAGGACACACTATAATTTTTTTGTGTTTTGTTTGCATGTTTTGTTTTGTTTTTTGAGACAGGGTCTCACTATGTCTTCCAGGCTGGCCTTGAACTCACTATGTAGCCTAGGTTGGCCTTGAACTCATAGCAGTCCTCCTGCCACAGCCTCCAGAGTGCAGTGGCAGGTGTGTACCACCACACCCAGCATTGTAATGTTTTTATTTGACAGAAATTGCTGTGAACAGTTAATCAAGGGGTGATCAAAAAATACAGTGAATATTTACATTAAAACACTTATTATAGGTTGGGCATGGTGGTGCACACCTGTAATTCCAGCACTCTGGATGCTAAGGCAGTAGTATTGCTGTGAGTTTGAGGCCAGCCTGGGCTACAAAGTGAATTCAGGGTGAGCCTGAACTGCCTAGTGAGATCCTGTCTCAAAAACAAAATAAAACAAAACAAAACCCAAAAAACTTATATAGTAAAAGATACATTACCATTAATCCCCTTCAAAATGCTCCCCCTTGCTTCAGACACACTTACCCATCATTTTTGGCAATGTGTCTTTTACTGTAATGTTTTTTTCAATTGAAAAATCCATCATTTCTTCCAAGCACCCATATATATTTGCCTGTTCTGGGTTGCAGATACTCATACATGGTCCTGTGTAATTGGCTTCTTGCACTCAGCCTAATGTTTCCAAGATCCTCCCATGCACAGAACTGTGAAGTGTTTCTCTCTGCTTCTTATAATACTCTAACTCAGGGACTGGGGATTTAGCTCAGCGGCACAGTGCCTGCCTGGAAAGCACGAGGTCATGAGTTTGATTCCTGGTACCAGGAAGAAACAAAACAAAACAAAAAATACTCTAATGGGAGCACTTTGCAGGTCCGTGAGGAGCAGATAAGTGAGCAGGGGAGCTGGCAGAGTATGGTGTGAGGAGCTCTGCACAACAGGACTTGAGAGTTGATGGAGTCTGTCTGTCACCGTGGCGTGCGTAGCAGCCTTGCAGTCTTGTTGGCTTGTCAGCTCATGATGCTTTTTTTTTTTTTTTTTTTTGGTTTTTCTCCGGTACCGGGAACCAAACTCACGACGTTGCGCTTGCCAGGCAGGCGCTTTTGCCGCTGAGCTAAACCCCCAGCCCCTGCTCATGATGCTTCTGTGGCCTCTAGGCACCTATCCAATGGGAGGAGCGGAATGTCACTGCCATTCAGGGACCTGGAGGGAAGTGGATGATCCCACCAGAAGCCAAGGAGTCCATGGATAAGAACAAGATGGGCCTGAAAGGTAGGTAGGCAACGGGGAGATGTTAGCTATTACTGTTCTTTGCCTCGGGTGTTCAGTTGCCAGAGTTCATCTGTGGAGGCGAAGTGAGGCCTGGCCGCCTGCTACAGCAAAGCCAAGTTCTTATGGAATCACCACTTGTAGTAAGGTGCTTTGTTTTTGATTTTGGACATTCCTTTTCAAACCCTACTAAAAACATGAAAGTATTACTGGCCATTACCAACTGACAATATGTATTCATTTTTAAATTCATTTTTTACTTCATTTTTCACATTTTTATCATTATTTTAATATACATTTAAGGTCATGATTCAAAGCGACAGGCATGGGCTGGGGATATAGCTCAGTGGTGTAAGTGCCTGCCTGGCAAGTGCAAGGTCGTGAGTTCGATCCCTGGTACTGCATGCATAAATAAATAAATAAGTAAGTAAGTAAGTAAGTAAATAAATAAATAAATAAAACAAAAACCACAGGCATGTGACAGACTGAAACATGGCACAGCTTTAAAATTATAGATCTGAAATTGACAATCCTCTCAACCACACCCTGGCTGGCAGGCCTGGGCAAATTGCTTAGTCTTGGATTTTGTTTTTTATTTTCTCCATTTTTAAGTGACCCTCATAGGGCATGGTGGGGCCGAGGCAATATCGAGCACCTTGAGAGTACAATGCTTTGCCCCAGATGCTGTCAGAACAGAAATGCGGTGAGGTTCTAGAGCCTCAGTGAGGGTCACTTCCTCTTCCACCTGGATCTGAGGAAGGGCATACAGCTAGCAGCACACATGTTGCACAGGGGGCCACATGTGAAACTGGACATGTCCTGTTGTCACCTGGGTGTTCTTCCTTATGACAGGCCCTCTGAAGACCCCAATCGCAGCTGGTCACCCGTCTATGAATTTACTGCTGCGTAAAACGTTCGATCTTTATGCAAATGTCCGGCCGTGCATCTCAATCGAAGGCTACAAAACCCCTTACACTGATGTGAATATTGTCACCATTCGAGAGAACACCGAAGGAGAATACAGTGGGATTGAGCATGTGGTATGTTCAGTTATTTTTGTGTTTCTAGTCAAGTTGCTCTTTGTCTGTTATATTTTCACCCAAACATAACTCCTATCTTAGTTACTTTTCTCATTGCTGAGACAAAAAAATACCCGACACCCAAAGTTAAAGGAGAAAGTGTTTATTTGGCTCACAGTTTGTCAAGGTTTCAGTCCATAGTTGGCTGGCTCCAAGGCAGGGTGGCGTGGCAGAGGGCCATCACAGAGGAGAAACAGTCCATGGCAGGCAGAAGGCAAGCTACACATGACAAGCAGGAGCCCTCTTTCTGTCCCTTATATCCTAGCCAGGCTTCCCACCCTTAGAGCAGGTAGCACTCACAACCAGGGTGGGGCAGCCTTCACCGTAGTGTCTATGAATCAGTTGCATTCTCACATCCTTGATCCCAGCAGCATAGACCCAGCCTATGACTGCATGAGGCTTTGCGGGGACATCTAGACACAAACCACATTTCCCAAAGACAGGTCAGTGTTACCTCTCTGAGGAGTTGGATGTTTCTCTAAGGCTGTGTCTGCACCTGATGATTGAGATGGATGCAGGAGGACTAGGGCCTGGCCCATCAGAGCACAGGCCCAGGACTCTGCCCACGTCACAGACATGCCCTGGGGCAGGCGGCCGTCTGTGGGCCTCGCTTTTCTCTCTGCTGCACAGCAGGGTTTATTATACCTGCTCCAGAGGCCAAGGTTCCAGCTACCCTGCCTGCTGTCTTCCACGGTTGTGGCCACACCCTCTGATCAGGGCAGGACTCTGTCTCTCTCAGATTGTTGATGGAGTTGTGCAGAGCATCAAGCTCATCACTGAGGAGGCGAGCAAGCGCATCGCCGAGTTTGCCTTTGAATACGCACGGAACAACCACCGAAGCAACGTCACGGCTGTGCACAAGGCCAACATCATGTGAGTCCTGTGGAGACTCTGCTGCTCCTGCTCTGCCTTGCTGGGTGATGACAGACCAGTGCAGGGGAGCAGTGGCCAGGTCCCAGGAGCTAAGGAGGGCCTGAGGATTAGCAGAAAGGAGGATGAAGGAGACTTGGCTCCCCACAGCCACAGTCAGAGCTCCCATGGTGCCTCCGCCATCTGCTGTGTCCTGGGCATCACATTCTTGTCATACCCAGCCAAATAAAAGCTGTCTCTGAGTATATAAAGAAAACAATTTACCTAACCTAAGAAAAGAATTGACCATGCAAAATAGTAAAACCATTTAAGTAATGGAGGGGGTTAACCCTTTAAACCAGTTTTAGTAATATTGCTGAGTACTTCTTGGTTTTTTGCTGGGTAGTATTGTAAAAATCTAGTCTTCTCTGTTATGGTCAAACTACATATTTTATGTCTTTATCCTTATGTGCTTCCAGAAGGATCCCAAGACATTTTCAGTTTTATTGACTGCCTAAGAAATAGTTTTTACAGAGCTGGGTATAATGGTATACACCTGTAATCCCAGCATTCATGAAGCTGAGGCAGGAGGGTCTCTATGAGTTTAAGGCCAGCCTGGGCTACATAGTGATTTCAAGGCCATTCTGAACTACATAATGAGATACTGTCTCAAAAAAAGAAAGAATTTTACTTTAATTTTTTATGGTAATTGAAATCAAGCATTTTAACTTTTTTTTGTTGTTGGTTTTTTTTTTTTTTTTGTTTGAGACAGAGTCTCGCTATGCAGTTCAGGCTGGCCTTGAGCTCACTTTGTAGCCCAGGCTGGTCTCCAACTCTCAACGATCCTCCTGCCTCAGCCTCCCAAGTGTTGGGATTACAGGCATGCGCCACCACGCCCGGTGACATTTTAACTTTTGGAACTTGAATTTCTTGAACTTCACTTCTTTCATTTGGCTGTTTTCTTTCTTAAATACAGGAGAATGTCAGATGGACTTTTTCTGCAAAAATGCAGGGAAGTTGCTGAAAATTGTAAAGATATTAAATTTAATGAGATGTACCTTGACACAGTGTGTTTGAATGTGAGTACATTTTCATACTTACCTGTTACTTCCTGTGGTAAACACTGTGTATGCAGTTACAGTTTTTGGTTGCTAAATGCACAAATGTGTTCCTTGTAGATGGTACAAGATCCGTCCCAGTTTGATGTCCTTGTTATGCCAAATTTGTACGGAGACATCCTTAGGTGAGTTTGACTGTACCCTTTTTTCTTTTTTGGTTTGAGGCAGGCTCTCACTATGTACTGCAGGCTGGCCTTGACCTCACTGTGTAGCCCAGGCTGGCCTCAAACTCATGGCAATCCTCCTGCATCAGCCTCCCAAGTGCTGGGATTATAGGCGTGCACCACCACACCTGGCCACTGCACCCTTTTTATTTTTGGTCTCTGGTTTATTTACAGACACCCTAAATAAATTTTGGCTTAATGTTTTCAATCAGATCTTATAAAATACAGCATTTTTCATCAGACATGAGCTGAATTTGAACGATTTAGGTGAGGACATCAATGATTACATGTTGAGGGTCAGTCCTTTATTTACCAAGTCAGCCCTGGGCTTTTCAGGTTTTTTTTTTTGCAGTGCTACAAATTGAACCTGGGCTGGGCATATAGCTTAGTGGCACAAGCAGCTGCCTGGCAAGCGTGAGGTTGTGAGTTCAATTCCCGGTACTGAAAAAAAAAGAAGAGGGGGCTGGGGATTTAGCTCAGCGGCACAGCACCTGCCTGGCAAGTGCAACGTCATGAGTTTGATTCCTGGTACCGGAGAAAAACAAAAAAAAACAAAAAAACAAAAAAAAAGAAGAACTTACAAATTGAACAGAAGACCTTTACACTGAGCTGCATCCCCAGCCCTTTCCTGTTAATTGTTTTTTAAAATTTTGGGACAGGGTCCCAGGTGAGACTGGGCAGCCTTCCAAAGTACCGGGACTATAGGCGTGTGCCATCATGCCTGCTTTTTTTCATATGTTTTATTGATTGGCTGACTGATTTCAATATGTTGTGTTATATATAGCTGGGTTGGTCATTTTAACAGATTTTTTTGCTTATTATTTTTTGTGGTGCTGGGGATCAAGCCTAGGGTTTCACCCATGCTAAACATGTGCTGTGCCACTGAGCCACACCCCCTTCCCCAGTAACTTTTGACCGACTTTCAGGCTTCCAGAAAAGTTGTAAGAATGGCACAAAGAATCCCTGTACTTAGTACCTGGGTTTGCCACATCTCAACATTTTACTACCCATTTTGGCCAGACGTGATTGTCCAAGCCATCATCCCATCTGCATTAGGGGTTGGTGTCCTGCTGGGAGGATGAGCTTACCCTTCCTCTGTCTGTTCACTTCGCTATGCCATATGGGTTCAGGTGTTTCATTTATTCATGGCTGTGCCCCTCACCACGTCATTCACATGGATGCTCAGCTGGGCCAGGCTCCCTTCCCCGTGGCTCCTGGTTCCTGTGGTCCTAGCCTCTCCTTCTCTGAGCCTTGCCTTGCTGTCTGATGCAGTGAGATGCTCCAGGCTCATCTGTGCATTCTGAGTGGCAGCCCTGGGGTCGGCAACTTCTCCAGGAAACACTGCTTCCTGTTAGTGGAGCATGGTGTCTTAAAGTCTGAATGCCAGGTGTGGTATTTTCCTGTTCTAAAAAGCATTTGAAATGCTTTTCCGCCTCCAGTGACCTGTGTGCCGGATTGATTGGTGGTCTCGGCGTGACTCCAAGTGGCAACATTGGAGCCAACGGGGTGGCCATCTTCGAGTCGGTAAGGGACCCAGACACCCAAGCAGAGCTTAGGTTGGAAGAGGAGGGATGCGGTAGGGGCTCTGTGTACACTCAGGGTTTAACTCTGCCATTTTACAGATTGTCAAAAGAATGGTGCATGTTTTTATAGATAGCCTTCATTTGTTCATTTTTCTCCAGCTATTTATTATGTAACCTTCCTTGCTCGTATTTTACCAAAAATTGACTTTTGCACTTTTAAAAAACTTAGCTCTGAATTTCTGCAAGGCTTTACTCCCCAAGGTCTGTGTCTGTGAATTACACACAGTACCATCAGCACACACCTTTTGGGGAGGGGGGCAGTTAGGAAGGTGATGTGGAGCCCAGGGCCGGTGCTCACCACCCGCCGAGGGCTGTGGCTTTGGTCTCCTTCCTGCTAATGCTGCCTTCCTGCCGCGCAGGTTCACGGGACAGCCCCCGACATTGCGGGCAAGGACATGGCCAACCCCACTGCCCTCCTGCTCAGTGCGGTGATGATGCTGCGCCACATGGGGCTCTTCGACCATGCTGCTAGGATCGAGGCCGCGTGCTTCGCCACGATCAAGGATGGAAAGGTATCACAGTCTCGATCTGTGTGTGGCAGGTGCATCTCCTCCGTGTTGTGTCTGTGAGGGGAGCCGGTGAGAGTCCTCAAGACAGTGGAATGAATCGAGGGTGTCAGAGATTCTCAGCATAGACGCCCTGCATGAGCTTCAGGAAGCGTGTGCACACGTGTTCATTTGCTGAGGTCAGGGCCCAGGTATTTACATTACAGGACCAAGGAGTACTGACAAACATCTTGCACAGCAGGAAGGACAGCAGGAGGCAGAGGCAGGCCAAGCCCAGCTGTCCTGCTGTCTGTGCAGTCTTGGCCAGTCCTCTCTTTTTTGTGTGATATTGGGGATTGAACCCAGGACTGTTGCACTAAGCTACCTTTTTAACTCTTTTTTTTGGTATGTTTTTGGGTAAGATTTTGCAAAGTCACTAAACTACCCAAGCTGGACTCAGCCTCCTCAGCCTCAGCCTCAGCCTGTGCACCACCATGCCCAGCTTGTCAGGTCATCTTCTTAGCAGAATTTCTCCACAGCTGGCCCCTCAATAAAGATTTATAATTTGAGATTCCTCCTTATACCCAAAATGCAAGAAATCCAAACTTCTTGTTTGTTTGTTTTGTTGTTGGGGAGGATGGGACATAGGTCCTATTGCATGCTAAGCAAGTGCTTATCCACTGATTACACCCTCAGCCCCAAGCTTGTTTTTAACAGCCTTACAGTAACTTTAGGGAACATTGATTCTCTTTTTATTCTGAAGCTTTAAAGATGTACGTCCTAGAGTCCAGCAGAGAGATGCCTGAGTTACATAGTAGACTTTAATTGTGCAGGATGTAGATAAAAGACACATATATAACTTGAATTTCTTGAACTTCACTTCTTTCATTTGGCTGTTTTCTTTCTTAAATACAGGAGAATGTCAGATGGACTTTTTCTGCAAAAATGCAGGGAAGTTGCTGAAAATTGTAAAGATATTAAATTTAATGAGATGTACCTTGACACAGTGTGTTTGAATGTGAGTACATTTTCATACTTACCTGTTACTTCCTGTGGTAAACACTGTGTATGCAGTTACAGTTTTTGGTTGCTGAATGCACAAATGTGTTCCTTGTAGATGGTACAAGATCCGTCCCAGTTTGATGTCCTTGTTATGCCAAATTTGTACGGAGACATCCTTAGGTGAGTTTGACTGTACCCTTTTTTCTTTTTTGGTTTGAGGCAGGCTCTCACTATGTACTGCAGGCTGGCCTTGACCTCACTGTGTAGCCCAGGCTGGCCTCAAACTCATGGCAATCCTCCTGCATCAGCCTCCCAAGTGCTGGGATTATAGGCGTGCACCACCACACCTGGCCACTGCACCCTTTTTATTTTTGGTCTCTGGTTTATTTACAGACACCCTAAATAAATTTTGGCTTAATGTTTTCAATCAGATCTTATAAAATACAGCATTTTTCATCAGACATGAGCTGAATTTGAACGATTTAGGTGAGGACATCAATGATTACATGTTGAGGGTCAGTCCTTTATTTACCAAGTCAGCCCTGGGCTTTTCAGATTTTTTTTTTTGCAGTGCTACAAATTGAACCTGGGCTGGGCATATAGCTTAGTGGCACAAGCAGCTGCCTGGCAAGCGTGAGGTTGTGAGTTCAATTCCCGGTACTGAAAAAAAAAAGAAGAGGGGGCTGGGGATTTAGCTCAGCGGCACAGCACCTGCCTGGCAAGTGCAACGTCATGAGTTTGATTCCTGGTACCGGAGAAAAACAAA